CAAACCCAGCAGTTCAGCGCAGTGTATCCGTAGTCTCGTGGACGATGGGGAATTGGATTCTCTGATGGTGAGTGTTTGTCATCGGCGTAATGGGGCAAACTTGTCGACATTTGGCTGCTGGCCGTGGCCGTCATTGACAAGAATAGAGTCACAGTGCAGTGGGATCCCTTGTCTTGTGCAATAGAAAGAGAGGGGGCGGGGTCCCTACGAGGAGGGATGAGCTCTGGCGTGTCCGAACTTTATGAAGCGGTGTCCCAGAATTCCAAGTATCGACGGCTTCATTTTGATCAACCCCAATCCAGGACACCACGACGAATGGTGGATAGATTGGGATGGTGGTGGGTGGGTGGGATTTGTTGCATGCCAGGGTCCAGAAAGGAAGGGCGAAAAAGAGCACTGAAAAAGAGAAAGAGAGAGAGACTGAGAGGAAGGAAGTTGGAAACCCAGACGGCCGTTTCCTTCCATTTGGAGAGACCCACCTGCTGGGTTCAAGGAAGAAGGAAGGAACTTTGGACCGGGGCAGGAAGAACACCCATTTTCTCGAACGGGGGTCCATCGGCGGGGCAGGTCGGCTGGGAAGAGGTTGTGGGAAGAGGCCGGTTCGGGGGCTCCCTGGCCCTGCCGGAGCAGTGCGACTGGCTGAGAATGGCAGGCGTGGAAATTCGAACCTGCCATCCGGTGGCCCAAAGCCCTGGCTGGTGGAGGCGATTGAGTCGCGGGTACATGATCACACGCAGAGTAAGGCTTGCAGAGGGAGGTACCTCACCTGGCGGGGCAGGATCAACTTGGTCGAGTAGGTACTTTTCAAGGTACGAACCTAGCATGGAAGAGCAGGAGGCAGGAGCAGCATTACCCGTAGGAGCAGGAACAAGTGTCAAGAGTCAAGACGGCCCGGTCTAAGGTGTGTGGGATGTTGGCAGGAGGTTTCGAGCAGACGTTGGCGGCAAAGAGGGAAATTCTACAAGGCGCTGGATGCTGTGCCAACAAAAAGACCATTTTTGAGTTGTTGAACCTGGCCGTGGGAAACATATCCGCCATGGGTTGCTCACAGTGATGAAATATGGGTGCCGATATTGCTGCAAACCTCACTCACAAACATGACCCGGCACCACCCATCGAGACCCCTCGCAAAAAAAGAAGTAGGCTTAGCATTGGAGGGGCAAATCGTTGACAAGCAAGGCAATAAACAAGTCCTTGCGTTTTTTGCCCACGCACGCCACGCCTTCAAGAAGCCCTTGGGTTGGACCAAGGTAACTCGAGCTGTGGTCACTGGTGACGGGCAACCATTAGAGATCCAATGCACAGCACAGGCACCTCTGTACTGCGTGGTGCGTAGTGTACATATGCTGCGCTGCTGGCTGCTGGCTGCTGCATAATGTACCTTAGCTCGACGGACAACCCGCGCAGGGTCATGTACCGTTGGAAGATGATGAGAGTACCAGTCGAATACCGCACCTAATGTGGACGCCCCATGAGAAGACGGGGTAGATTTTCGTATCCGAGCCGGGGTCTGGTAGTATAACGCACGGATCTCTCGCCAAACTCTGTCTCTCTCTCTTTCGCTCTGCTGCGTACAGGGTTGACACGGTCGATAACCAGAAATGAACTTGACAGGCCGCATCCAAAAAGGAAAAAACAGAAAGAGGCTGACGTGCAAGATGGCGAGAGGAGAGGGAAAAAAAGGAACCAAGGAGGCGAAAAGTGCATCACCACCATGCCCATGCAAAGTGGACTATTGCTCGTATGGGAAAGTCGATCTGCCCCGTTTGGTTTGGCTGTCAATCAACTCTGCAATGCGTAACGCAGCACTGAGTCTCGACAGGGCGAGCACGGGAGCGGCCAATAACGGTGAAAATGATGATGGTGCAGGAACATTGTGGGAGGCGAGGTTAGCCAGATGAGAATCTAATAAAAATACAAGTCTTTGAGCGGGGGCCCGGATTTTCTCTCATCTGTTGTCTCCGTCTTCATCAAGGCGATCAATGTTTAACAGCCGTATTGATCCAAAGTCGGTAAATCCCCTATTTGATCCATTCTGGCGCGTTTGATTGCCACCAAGATGAAGAGATATGTCCAGGTTAGTGCTAGGAAATAAGACTTGCCGTCGGCCGCTTAATCCAGCTCTGAGCGTGGTGGCATCACTAGTTCTTGACAAGACACCACAATTGACCAACGCCTCCTATTTTCTTTTTTTAATTCTCCGTGACGGACACCATCTGTCTGCCTTGTGCAGATTGGATTGGATCGGTCATCTCCCCCTGGAACCACCACCACGACCGTCTCGACGGATCTGGGTCGTCTGTATTCCGTAGTGTATCCGTAGTATTACGAAATCAACGAGACGGGGCCCAATGGCAGTTGTTAACAGCAAGTCGAGATCCATCTGAACCTGAACTTCAGGCTTCAGCTGCTCCGTCCCTACCTTGTACTTCGTACCCGAAGGTACGTTATGGCGTCGGCCCCACGACTTCAATCTTGAGAGTCTGTTCTCAATGCGCAAGGCCATCATCTGGGCGTATGGCGTACCTCGCTCCCAAAGCCCGCGCGTCCATGCTGCACGGCACATGCAAAAGCCGCCAAACCACCATCGCCTTCCCACGGTCTGAGCTGGCCGTCTGGTCTTTACTTTACCTTACTCTGTCGTACGTACATGCATGTTTTGCGCAGCGCCTGCATGACTCCCCCACCACATCTCCCGCTTCTGTTCCGCCGAGCAAACAAACAAGCCCGATTCGCAATAATGACAATGCGAACTTGGCCATTCTAGAAGAGCGGGTTGGGGCAACTGGGGCACGTACCAACTCCTTTCGAATCGCTTTCTCCCCAATATCCGTTTCCATCCCAGGGGCCTACGGAGTACCTACGGCTACACATTGCGAGCCTGAGATAGGAGTCAGAAAAGAGAGTAAATAGCGAGGAGGGGGGAACCAGCCGAAGCTACCTACCTTACCTAGGCCGTTGTTAGCCCCCAGGAACCCTGCCCCTCAATGTACCATCGCGGCCTCCTTAAGTAGTTTACCCTGATCTTATTACAGAGTACGTAGGTACATCACGGACCTTGTACCTGAGAAAGCCCGTCGACCTCACACCAACAACGAAGAAGCCCAGGACTAGCAATCCCCATCCATTTATCCACCTGCAAGTCCACCCACGCTAGGTTACCGTACCTACATACATGACATGGTGCCTACAGTGCACCGCATGCTCTCTCTAGTGTAGATTCTCGCTGCAAGCCCAGGGCCTCCATCTTGCGCTGCCCTCTGGGATTGGGATTGCCAGGGCCAGAGGTACAGGTACAGGTACAGAGGTACAGGGACCAGGCCCAGGTTTAGCCGAACAAAGAAAAGGGAAAACGTGCAGAGGTCCCCACCAGCAGAGACGCCTCTCTTGCTGCTTTCTCTCTCTTCCCCTTCCACGTCCCTCTTCCTCCCCGTCAGTCACGTCTTGCACACACACACACACACACACACACACACACTCTTCCTCTCGACTGTGACCTGCAAAGGTATATACTTGGTCCCTTCCCCATTTTCCGCCCTCCTTGCCAGACGCAGTATACCGTGCTGGCGGGCGCTCCCGACAAGACAAACCCAAACCTCTCCCGTCTACCGTCTTTCTTTGTCGACTTGCTCCTCGGATAGGTAGGAAGCGGAAGCCACTGGACGTCTTTTCCAATTGCGGCCCTGAATCAAACGGCGCACACCAACGACCGCTACCAAAGGGGGGAAAAGCAGCGCTACTTTTGCTCTCTCATCTTACCTAAGGGTAGGCTAGTAGTTCTCCGACACCAATCGACTAATTCTTGTTACGACCGAGACAAGACGACGCATCATCCCATCCCACACACTCACACACACATACCTACACACTGCGAAAGGAGGGAAAAAAAAAAAGAGGATAGGAGAGCCACGCCATCGTCCTGCCATCTCCAAAACATACCGGGACCTGTCGAACCTTGAACTTGCGACGACACGCGAACTTGCCGCAAACGTGTACTTGCAACCTACCTGTACACGCATCTGCCCAGCAACCCAATTCCTGCTGAACTCCGACGGTCTCGAACTTTTTTTTTCTCTCCCCTTCATCGGCCGTTCTCTGGATTGCAGTTTATCCGTCCTCTCGTCGCCAACTCTCACACCATCCTTTTTTCGACACCCTGCAATCATGCATGTTCAGCCTGCTTTCCATCCGACCCAGCATTGTTGATACAACCATTTGAAACACCCTGCCAGGCTTCCCAGGTCCTTGTGTGACAACCCGCCACAGCCACATACCCGGGACCGACCTCTGCCTTCTTGTTCGCTTTCCTGTTGGCATTACCAGTCACACGGGTGGATCCCAGATCCCCATCGCCTATACCGTCCCTATTCTGATATCACCTTTCCAATTCTTAAAATATACTTCACACCCAGCCCTCTCCTACATTACGAGGTGCTCCACGATTTGACGATTCGCGCCCTCCGATTCGAACGAGCCGCCGACTACTTCACCCCTTCACGGCACCTTTGCCTCCCCCCGCTGCCGACCTCACCTGATCGCGCAGTCTTGGACGCGGCGCTTTCCTAATGTTCAGTCGGTCTCGGAAGGGTTCGAAAGGGTTCGGCTTTGGATCTTCAAGCACCAAAGACAGTCAGGTTAACCACCTTCTCGATCTTGGTCTTGTGAGCCCCAAGGCCATTCAAGACCCCTACCGTCCTGGTACCGCTACAACAACAAGGACAAATAACACGTGGACGGATGCGCCGTCCTTTCCAGAGAAGAGTACGTAGGCCCCCATTTGACTCCGACCGTGACTGCTTGAGCGTCGCGAATTGACTTTCCGTCCGAACGGCCGGCCGTCAAATTTGCTGCTTGACGTCCAAACTTGGTAAAAGTTACTCTTGTTAATCAATCTACACACAGACGTCTCAATAGCTCGCGGCACAGGACAGCGCTCCAACGCCTCAGTTCGATCCGGAGACAGTGCACACCGAAGAGGCGACAGCTACTCATCCAACAACATGGCATCCGGCGCCGGCCGCAACAGGAGGGAGCGCACCTTTGTAGGGAGCGAATGCGCAGTGTGCGAGGAGCCGCTGGAGCACACCCTGCGCGGAGAGCGCATTCTACAATTTTCATGCTCGCACGTATCTCACGAAGCTTGCTTCTACGAGTTTATTCGCGAATTCGAATCGCAATACTGCCCCTCGTGCGATGCGCCTCTCCATCTCGACACTAGCCGGGGCGGCAATGTCTTGGATATTGGTAAGCGCAGTCCCATGTCTTGCTCGCCTGAGACACGACTAATTCTTTTGCAGAAAAAATCAGCAACCTCGTTCGATCTGTCTCATCCACCGACACTAGGTCAAATCACACCCCTACGCCCACGGCTACGCCATGGGACAACAACCCAACGCCCACTCCGCGCCCCACCAGCATCGAGTCGAACCAGCGAAACATGGCCAGCACCCACACCCGCGAAAGCGCGCCTCGAAGCACTGGACGCGACAGGGAGAGCAGCCAGCCACCGACTTCCGAGAGGTACGGCCCTTCAAGGCACGCTCGCAGCGATAGCGAGGCCACCGGCGTCGCATCGTCTGGTGGCTACCCCGAAACGACCCAAAGCGGCCCGCCGCGCAGACACGATTATGACGTCCAGGCAATGGAGACCACACCGGGCAGCCCCCGCGCGATAACGAGGAATCCGATCCCGGCACCGACTGTGACAGTTCGATCCGAGTTCCCCACCATCAACAGGTCTCGGCAGCAGCAGACCTTGACCTGCCTTATTACCGTAGAAGTACCCGACAACAAGTGGCGGCCCGATCCCGAAGATCTTGGGTCAGCCCCGCCAGCCCCGCCTGCAGTGAATGCCCGAATCGACGAGGCATTTGCGCGACCACCATCCCCGGCCCGAAGTGCGCCTCGATTCTATCCCTACGAGTCTCGGGAAGTGCTGGAGGAACAAACCGAAAATCTGAGAAACCGTGTGGACAACTGGCATGGACTCGATTTCAGCAGGTGAGATTTTGGCACACATTCCTTGCATGACCAACGGCCAATGACATGACTGACACACTCCAGATTCGGCAAACTGCGGCTGTATGGCACACTACGCGTCGGCAAGGATAAGGCATCCTGGCAGGAGCTGGAATGCTTTCTGTTCGCTGAAATGTTGATTTGCGTAAAGGAGAAGAAGGTAACCCTCGCAGGGCAATGGGACGAGAACGGCATGCCCAAGAAGACCACCCGCTGCACACTCAAAGGATCCATCCTCATCAAGAAGCACCTCAATGAGGTCTCGGAAACGGGCAACAGTGAGACACATTCCTTCTTTCCATCCAGGTTTTGACGTTAACCATTCACGCAGTTGATGAGAACATTCTTACACTAAACCTCTCTGTCGCGGAGCTGCCTCAGTTCCACCTCCGGTTCGAGAACCGCAACCAGCTCAAGCTTTGGCACCAAGCACTGCTCGACTTGAACGCTGTCGAAACGTCGCCAGTCCGCAGCCCAGAGTACGACCGAGGAGAATTCTCCGAGACGGACGAGGATGACTGGCAGCGTGGATCGCGACAGCAAAGGGTGTCGTCGATTGCCTCGTCCTGGGGCGGCCCTAAATCCACCACAACGGCGCCCACCGAGTACACCAACTTCCAGAGGAGCCCGACAATGCCGGCTTCCATCCACGTACCCATCGACGTGGTTGTGGTCGTCCCCATCTCATCGTCGATGCAGGGCGTCAAGATCAACCTTGTTCGCGATGCCCTCAAATTCATGGTCAACACCCTCGGCGAGAGAGATAGGATGGGACTCGTCACCTTTGGATCGGGCGGCGGCGGTGTACCCATTGTGGGCATGACCACAAAGGCGTGGCCCGGTTGGAGCAACGTATTGGGCTCCATCAAGCCGGTTGGGCAAAAGAGCCACCGCGCCGATGTGGTGGAGGGTGCCAATGTCGCCATGGACTTGCTCATGCAGCGCAAGTACAACAACCCGATCGCCACCATTATGCTCATCAGCGACGCTTCTACTTCGGACGCCGACAGTGTCGACTTTGTCGTGTCGAGAGCCGAAGCAGCCAAGATCACCATTCACTCCTTTGGCCTCGGCATGACGCACAAGCCCGATACCATGATTGAGCTCTCTACCCGCACCAAGGCGTCTTATACCTACGTCAAGGACTGGATGATGCTTCGCGAGTGCCTTGCCGGCTGCCTCGGCGCCATGCAGACGCTCTCTCACCAAAACGTGAAGCTCAAGCTGAAGCTGCCTGAAGGATCTCCGGCCAAGTTCCACAAGATCAGCGGTGCCTTGCAGATTACCAAGCGCGCCACGGGTCGTGACGCTGAGGCCTCCCTGGGCGATCTTAGATTCGGTGACAAGCGCGACGTCTTGGTGCAGCTCGTCATTGTGCCGGACAACACGTCCCAAGAACAACTGCCGCAGGATCCTTGGGATAACATTGTCTCGGGTCTGGAGGCGCTCGGTGGAGCTGGCGATGGGGACGACCAGCGGGTGACTTCAGTCGAGGAGGTGCCTCTCATCCAGGCTGACCTTACATGGGGTGACATTCTCCGGGATGGCACGCTCTCCCATCTCCCCCGCCCTTCTCTGCTTGCCATCACTATGCTTCCGGCCCAGGCGAAAAACAAGAATTCGTGGGCAGGATCGCCCCCGATCCCCCCTCACCCGCACATCGTCCAGCGGCGCATGGAGCTGCTAACGTCGGATATGCTAACCCGCGCCTTGACCCTCGTGTCGCGCGGTCAGCACGACCGAGCGCACACCCTACTCAACGAGACCCGATCTATTTTGAAGGGTCTTGGAAAAGGTGGTCTGCCTCCGATTCCTCCACCGACGGCACCGCCAACGAGATCCCTCCCTTCCACCCCGCACCCCGGGAACGATGCCTCACCCTCCATCACCCCCGACAGAAAACAGACTCCATCGCCCACTCAATCGGCCAACTCGTCCGCCGTCAACGGCTACCAGGCCACTGGCATCGGGCGCAGTCGGTCCAACGATGGCCTCGGTCTCGGTGCGGGTATCGATGCCAATACCGTTGCCGCTCTGGACCACGAGCTCGAGAGCAGTCTCGAATGGATCAGCCATCCTGCCGTCTTTGGCCGCGACAGCCGCAAAGCTGTTCTCCAAGCGATTGGAGTAATCAGCTCCCAGCGAGCCTTCACCTTCCGTACGCCGATTGAATCCCTGTGGTCTGGTCGCGTGGCGGGTGTGAAGAAGCTCACCAGCAAGAGTCGTGAGTGGCGCGAAGAGGGTGGCGGCGAGGGCGGCATCATGGAGGAGGCCTAAGTGGCCTCCTCGATATGCCATACTTTTCTCTGACTTACTGGGAACTCTTGGACTGCCTGAACGACCAGGCGGCGGCGTATTGGTTCCTTGGGAAACACATTCTTACGGTCGTTACTTGGCACGGGCTCGTCTTTGCCAATCATCATACCCCCTGATCTACAGCTGATTTGTTTTTTTGTTACCGATATAGCTGCTTTGCTCACGTCTTTACCGCACCGCAGCATGCTTTGCCGGAAAGATACCACACATGTTTTTGCTATTTTATTCCTTTCTTACCTACTATGTCTTCGAGCACGCGTGTCTTGTCTTGCGAGACGACTCGTCGTGTCGTCGCATCTCATGAAAGCTTTCTCGCGCTGCCACGTCACCGAGAGCCTTACAAATCATGTAATTTCGCTTCTTATTGTCATGTCACTGATGTCTGGAGAACTGGATGACGGGAGAGGGTTGTGGGCTCGGCTGCGAAAAAGCATGCTTCTTGTACATGTTTGGGAATGAACGACACGGAAGTGCGGAAGAGTAGAGCAATACTACTTGCTGTTGACATGCCATATCAGATCATTGTCTTTTGTGACCGCTTCTGGGTTGATGAGTCTTTTGAATTTCGGCAACTACACCGAGTGTCTGTTGGTACGACTGTCTGGATTTACACGTAGCCTTGCCTTGACAACTTTCCCGAATTGAAATGAGTTGGGGTGATGGCGTAAAACAGCTCCTGTCCCAACTGCGATGAGCCAACACTGACCAACAGTTAGAATCCGAGTCACTTTGGCATGGACATCACGGGAAAGGACTTGTTTGAAAGACACAACACGAGTTCCGATCTATATCTGCGAGCTAGGCACACGTAACTCCAGGACATACTCCCCCATCCCCCATCCAAAGCCTGTTTTTTCTCCCCTTTTTCCTATTTTACTTCTTCTCGTTGTCGCCGCGAGACTCCATGTAGCTTCCGACTCTAGATCATGGATTCAAACTCGTGAAGGTGGTGAGAAGCTGCAGAGTTTGATTCATTGCGTTAGACGGAAAGGCCGTGGTGTAGGAAACTTGTAAGGGAAGGGCGATGAGGAAACTCACTCTATTGCTTCTTGTCGTTGGCTTCGTACTTGTCCTCGGGATAGGGTCCGAACTCCGTAGTCTGGCGCTTGGAGTTGGTGGTCTCGTACTTGTCCTCTGGATAAGGCCCAAACTCGGTGGTCTGGCGTCTAGAGTTCTTGGCTTCGTACTTGTCCTCGGGGTAAGGACCGAACTCGGTAGTCTGACGCTTTTCCTTCATGTTGCTGCTCTCGTACTTGTCTTCGGGGTAGGGTCCGAATTCTGTAGTCTGGCGCTTGGAATTGGTCGACTCGTACTTGTCTTCGGGGTAGGGACCGAACTCGGTAGTTTGCCGCTTCTCCTTCATGCTGTTGCCCTCGTACTTGTCCTCGGGATAGGGCCCAAATTCGGTGGTCTGACGCTTCGAGCTCTTGCCCTGGTAGCTATCCTCTGGGTAGGGCCCAAATTCGGTAGTCTGACGCTTCGAGCTCTGGCCCTGGTAGCTATCCTCTGGGTAGGGACCAAACTCCGTAGTCTGACGCCTTGCCTTGCCCTCGTACTTGTCTTCAGGGTAGGGGCCAAACTCCGTGGTCTGACGCTTGCTGTTCTCCTTGCCCTGGTAGCTGTCCTCTGGGTACGGACCGAACTCTGTGGTCTGGCGTTTCGTGTTGCCCTCGTACTTGTCCTCAGGGTACGGGCCGAATTCAGTCGTCTGGCGTCTTTGGTTCTCCTTGCCCTGGTAGTTATCTTCAGGGTAAGGACCAAATTCTGTGGTCTGGCGCTTTCCATTCTCCTTCCCCTGGTAGCTATCCTCGGGGTAGGGACCAAACTCGGTCGTCTGGCGCCTCTGGCTCGCCTTGCCCTGGTAGCTATCCTCGGGGTAGGGGCCGAACTCGGTCGTCTGGCGCTTGCCGTTCTCCTTGCCCTGGTAGCTGTCCTCAGGATAGGGACCAAACTCGGTGGTTTGGCGCTTCTCCGGAACGGCGAGCTTGGCACCCGGAGCGGCGGCGGCAAGGCTTGCGGCGAAGGCAAGGATGGCAGTGACCTTTGTCATATGCATGATGGCGTTTGGAGTTGTGAGAGGAGGGATGAATGTGTTGTGAAGAAGAGTGCTAGAGGCAAGGTGAAGACTGGAGATATTGAAGAAGCTTGTAGAACTGTGAAGGTGTTTGACTTGATGAGTGAGTGAGGAGAATGTTCGCTTTTTCCGGAACGAAATGCACCCTTAAATATCCATTTTTTCTGTTCAACTTGGTTGTCAACTCGACTGACAACTCATCAGTGAAGTTGCCATTTCGTTCAAGATTCAGAGGCCTCGCCATCGGTCCGACGGATACGGGTGCTTTCGTCACTCGACGCCCTGTCGTGAACTTCTTGTTCGTGATAGCGTCAACGCGTCGTCACTCTTGTTGTTCGTGATGCGCCATACTTTCGAGTCCGCAGCAGAACTAGAGCTCGATCGTATGACTCGTTGATCCGTTCAACCTTTTCCGAAGATCAGAAGGCAACGCATCGCCGCCCGCTAGCGAGAACAAGTCGAGATGATTGCGTCTCCCATCGGGAACTTCAAGTTGACAAAGTTTGAACCTCGGGGATCGAGATCATCATGAACTAACCTTTGAAGAATCTCGGAGTTTCTTGTGGTCCAAGGAATCATCTCTAGGCATGAGTCGTCAACTTCCTTCTCATTTCCAGTGGGAAGCCTCTCCATCGGGCATATAAGGCGGATATCCGTCGGGCCCACGATGTTGGTCTTAGCGTTTGCGATTCCTGGCACAAACTTCTTCTCTAACCTCTTTCAGTCAATCCCGTTCTAACCTCTTTACACAATGTCTCTCAAGCAATTCTTGTCCATGTCCTTCGCCGCGGCCCTCCTGGCGGCACTCTTCTCCGCAAAGTCTCGGTCCCAGACGGAGCTCCAGATCCCACTCGGCAACTCTTGCCCGCGCCCGCGCTATACGGTACGGACGTTGTCGTATGATCCACTCATTCAGCACATTGAGAACTTTATCACTCAAGAGGAGTCCCAGTACCTGCTGCAGATTGCGTACGTCAGAGCTCCTCCCTATTGCTGAAGATTCGGGGTATACGTGCTGACTGACTCGGTACAGGCATCCTAGGTTCCAGCGGTCTCGCGCCATCGGCACTGACGGGCGATCCATTGCTGCACAAGAACGAACCAGTTCCACGGCGTACCTGCCTTCGGATGATTCTGTCGTCCAATGCATCAGATCCCGCGCTTCGGAGTTTCAGGGCTACGTAGACCTTGACATGATGGAGGATCTGCAAGTGACGCGGTACTTGGAGGGGCAGCAGTACACGAATCACTATGACTGGGCAGCGAACCCCGCGGCGAGAAATCAGACGACAAACAGGGAAACGACCTTCTTTGCCGTTCTCGATGTGGAGTGTGCCAGCTGCGGGACACGGTTTCCCAAGATTTCGGTGGACTGGGGTGTCGAGGATGAGCGGTGGTGCAACCTGGTCGACTGCGCGGCCCAGACAGAGCTGACAGTGCGAGCGGTCGCCGGTAGTGCCGTCTTCTGGCGGAATCTCCATTCCGATGGGACCGGAGATGCTCGAACGCTACATGCCGGCCTGCCGGCGGTAGGCGGCAAAAAGATCGGGTTGAATATCTGGACACGCCGGGAGGTTTAGTGCGCCTGCGAGGGGGGAGACTGTCTCCCGGGGATATTGGACGTTTCGAAATAGCGCACCAATCATCTTTCACTCTTTTGACTCCGCTTTGTCACACGTTCTATTAGTCTTTAGACCTTGTTTTGTTCTGGTGAATCGAGATCTATCTGCAAGGGCCACAAAGTCTACATGCTTATATTCATACTCCTCCCACGCGGCACCTGCTGGTCACTGACACAACTGGGGCTGTCTCTAAAGACTCCGGTAAAGGTTCACACTAGCGCTTTGTAGATCATGGCCAACTACACGCGGAAGACGACAGCCGCTTTTTTAGACTTTTGACTCAAATATGCCAAAAAGCCGGTGGCATGAACCATGATGTGATTCAGCGCGTAGTCTGTCAAGTGCAATGCCCCATTGGGTACATCGGTAATGGCGGCTAATTTCGCTGGAATCATTGGACGCGGCCGCTAGAACCAACTCTTCCGGAGCCCAAAGCTTGTCTGTGGTTCCCGAAAGCTTCTTTCAGGTAGACGTACACGCTAGCAGGCATCAGATTCATGGTCGATGGCGAAGGGACCAGGGCCATATCGCACCCGAGTAGCTCGGTAGATCAACACGTACTAGAGAGAGCTCGGATCGCGAGGACAGGAACCACCTCGCGACCTGCCTTGCCGACATCTGCACAGCAGCAACAACAACAATCTGAAGGAATCTGCTCCACTCTGTGGTCTCCCACCTCTCCAGGCCTACCTCATCTTTCAAACTGGCATTGATCATTCTCCATATCGTAGAACACCTACATCTCACTTTTGCAATGGAAGAAAGCAAGCTCCTTAGGCGCAACTCCTCCTCGGACGGTGATACGGATTCTACTGGATTTGCTGACACCTTGGAGCGGGGCTCTATCCGCAAGACCGTCATGTCACGTTGTGAGCTGTTTCGTTGCTGTCTTGACATTATCCTCATTCTTTGTCTTCTTGGGACGACCGCTGCGATTCTCAAGAAGGACGCCGGGCGACACGACAAAACGGTCTGGCCGGCGGGAAGCGACTACAATCACTTTGTCCCACATGGCAAGCCGCACCTCTTCACCTTGTGAACGCCGCTGACCTGCAGGGTAGATGTGAGCTCGAGAGGCGTTCCGAAGCCGTCGGGCCCTGACCAGTACGAGGTCACCGCCCATGCGTTTCATGACCAGAGTGTCCTGAACGAGACTCTTGATTCTTGGCAAGGTCTCTCCCACGGCAAGCATCCATTGAATCAGGATTTTATCACCGACTAACGAGATTGCCAGCCTTTGTCCGAGCCTCCCCATATGACGGTAGTGGGCCTCAGAAGCTGTTTTCAGGTGACTTGTTTGAGATTGCCGCTTTCCATCAGATCCACTGTCTGGTAAGTCATCTGATCAATCTTTTCGTTCTTCGCACTTCTGACGCCCGGGTCACTAGACATCCATCCTGGAGGATTTTGGTCTCTTGGCTGCCGGTGTTCCCAAGGAGGAGCTGCCTGGGTACCACAGCGGGGTCACACTAACGTGGGAGGAGCACAAGGCGCACTGCTTCAACTACGTCCGGCAGGCCCTAATGTGCTTTGCTGACTCCACCGCCGAGGGCCACATTGAGGGTGACACGCATCGGGTCGCTGATCATGGGGTAATGCATGTTTGCAATGATTTTGATGCTCTGCTGGCGTGGTCGAAGGAGCCCGAGCGGGCACTGCCCAAAAGTTGGAGGGTGACAGATTAAGAAGAAGAGACTTGCCCGTTTGTAGCAGATAGATTTGTAGTTGTAGCACAACTGACATACATTCTCTTATCTGACTTACTATGCGCATTGTGGCATATCGATCTTGCTACGAAAATTACGAGTCAAGTTTGATATAATGGAAATGACGGAATGCAGACCATGGTGTTCAAGAGCTTGTCCAATAGCCGTTTAGAGGTTTAGATTAGCGCCTATTAGATGACAAAACCGAGTGGCTCAGTGACACTCTCATTTCCCCTATATGAGAGCACATCAGGCATATGCAGTCACAGTGAAGATTCTCGTTTGTACAGCCAGATGAAAGCTTTGTTGTACTAGTCTCAGTATAGGCACTCTGTCTGGTTGTACTATCTCTAGTCTCACCCCATGTGGGAGTGTCCATGGCCGTGACCAGGCACACCTTCCTTCGCCTTTCCCGGAAACATTTTTGAAAAGTGCCCGCAGTCAGGGTATTGGATCTTTGCTCTGACCTCAATGTCATCCGGCTCATTGATCCTCGTCAGAACCTGAGTACAGTGTTGCGTGTGCGTCAAGACGTCTTCGCGGTGAACCATGCGATTCTCAGTCAACGCCTTGTGGAATCGGAGAATGTTGTAGGCGCAGTGCGTCTTGTGAAGCCTGTTGGTGAGGTATACAGGCTGGGTATCAGAGCCGAACTGCTCCTCAGTCACGGACGCCGTCTTGTTCTGGTCGGTGTAGAACACCCACGGCCCGGCGTTGCGGAATTTGTCCGTCAGCTCACGGTCGAAGCACTCCTCCGGCACCCAGCAGAATGAGAGCACGTCAAAGTGGCAACCGAGTGCTTGGGCCTCGCTGGACGAGTTGCCGCAGGGGTTCTCTATGATGCCCTGGGCGTTGGTGCGGGAAGGCGGGACGATGGACTGGAAGACCCAGGTGACGGAGAAGGCAAAGATGACGCTCAAGGCTAGACCGATGAGGAGCTTGGAGAGAACCTCGCGCTGGTAGCGGCGCTGCACCTCTGGTGAGGGAAAAAGAGGAGTTCCCTTTTCTTGCTCATCCTCGGTGAGCATGGGGCGGGTGCTATCCTCGCTATCGTAAGACATGGTGTTTTTGGAATGATGAGAATGAATTTAGGTGTGTAAGTGATGTTCCTGAAAATCCTTTGCAGAGACGATGTGAGACCTAGGCTTTGAGATTGTCTACTGCGACGAGACGGTGAGGTGACCTTTGGCATTTGGGCCCAGGGGCATTGCATCTACCCGACTTGAGTCTACTTGGCCGTGAGACTCATTTGGTGACTTTCTATGATATCTCATGACTCTTGCACGGCTCGGAAGATGAGAAAATCATCTACAAGCGTACGATGTGGGGTTTTAGACTTTGGTTACGTCTCCTCGCAATGAAGCTTAGCGCATAAATGCGCCGTGTACAAGATCCTAAGTCTAGGCTTCAGTAAATTCCGCCGTTTCGTCGTTGAAATGGAATATCACCATGGAGGAGTACGATCGGCGATGGACTCCTATCCGAGGACCGAAGTCGAGTGCCGAACAGAGTCAACTTGACGATGTCAAGATCAACTCACCTCTGCCATTGAGTTTATGTCGGTCCCATGTTTTGACTTTTGGCAGTCAAAGCTTCGACGGGAGGGAGTCGTCACTTGCACCCGAACAGCTCCACCCCGGACTGAGTCGCCAGCCAGAGAAGGAAAAATCCAACAACACCTGCGGGCGTTCGGCGAACCCGTTTTCGAAATAGTGCCTATTTTGAGTTGTGACTCTAGCAATTTACACTCGAACGGCATTCTTTTGCCGGCATTGCAGTCGACCGGACGATCTTGCCATTGGATGGCACATTAGTCGTAGGGCACCTTATGGTCGTTGCAGTCGGGGTTCATTAATCCCCAAGTCCAGAGCCTCCCTTGATGAATCAGATGGTCACCCGTAACTCCTCTACTCACCCAACACAAAGTTGAGTCACTATGAACTTCTTCAAGGCAGACAAGTCAACGCAGTATGTGTCTGTAGAGGAGAGCTCCGAGTGTAGCGAAGACCAGCTGCCTTTGCGAAGGAGGCCCTCGTCGCCGATTGTGTCGGTTTCCAGGTCTTACTACTTCATTTCGTTGCTGTTGTTTGCCATTTTCCCCGTACTTGTCGTTGCCTTGTTTGTTCTTCACACTCGGCTAGAGGGCGCTCGCATCGACAGCGGCTTTCTCAAAGGCTTCCCTACCGAACTAGGTATGCCAGACAGTGCTCTCAAACAAAGGGCAGACAACGAGCTGACATTAAGAGCTACATAGAACCAATCAAAGGTGTACTTGCCAGTGAAACAGTACGTTTCACTGGAGGCCTTCACTTCTACAAGAATGGGACCTTGTACCGTGAGGTAATTGAGGGACAACCGCAATACGTCGGGCCTCCATCACCAGCGATTGATGCAGCGTGGAAGAGTCTGCTAAAAGGTGATTTGGCCAAGGGAGTTCGACCTAAAACCACACTGACCAAGTTCAGGCCAATACATGAACCTTGTTGGGAGCGAAGCATCGAGCATGGTTGGGCGCACGTGGAAAGACAGCCACGGCAACTACGAAGTGGCGTAAGTTTCGCATTCTTACGAGTAGAGTTTTAAGCAATGAACTAAGACTTGTCTAGTCTAGATGTGATGCATACCCTCCATTGCGTGGTAAAGTACCTCTGGCCCGTGGTTTGTCTGCAATGACGACTAATTCGTTGAAGAACAAAGTGAGGATGGCTCTGGATCCAGATTACTACAGGGAGGAAGAGAGCCCCCGAATTCACAGGATGCACGTCGGTAAGCCATGCTTCTTTCTCAAACTTCAAAAAACAGTGCGGCTAATTACAGCCCTAGACCACTGTCTTGACTATCTTAGGCAGACGGTACAATGCCACGGTGACCTGACTCCCATGGTTTTCAGCTGGTCGGAGGATGCCGGCAGGGTTGTTGCCGACTGGAAAGAACCTCATACATGCCGCAACTTTAACCGTGTTCGCAGTTGGGCTGAAGACCACTTTCGGCCATGAACTACGTATTATACACATGTTACTCAACCCATTCATGCGGTTTATTTTGAAGCAACTTTTCCCCTAAGACTGTTAAGAGGCTCTAGTTTAGAACTCAAGATCTAGGAACGAATCTTTTGTAGACAGTGTATTGGTAGAATGGAATAGTATTCGGGTTTGAGTTTATAATTCTTACCAAACTCTTATCCTGCTTCTTTGTACTCGCACTGTCTTGATATCATTGCTGTCTTTGTGTTTATACTGCATGGTGTATGTCATTTGCATTTTTCAAGTAAACGCTTAGATCACTTTGTTCACAGTTCGTAATACGGGGGAGATACGCCTATTGGTTTGTCTTGAATAAAAGCCACGGTTTAAGCACAAGATGTACCGAATCTTGTAGGATAGATGAGATAAATATTGGACAAGACACGATAAGATCAAGTATGGCCATACCGAAAGCTGGGTTTGGAGATCTGCCATGGCGACAAGTCACATAAACCTATCAGATTGACAGAGAGCTGACCTCTACTACTCTACCTTATTCATCCAGGTACGTCGGCATTTTCGACAGCCGTCCCCACCCATGCACATTCGAAGTCTGATGGAGTATTCGCAAAGGTTCTACTTTCCTTGACCTCTTTCTGTCATCTATGTGGTCATGGCTAGGATGAGATTTTGAGTTTTGCTCTCAATCAACCCCCCTTTCCGGTGCCGTGCTCCAACCTCCGAGTAGGTCTGTCCAAAGAAATTCGTTTGTTTCTCCGATTATAACTCCCATGTAGCATTCTAATTCTTGAAGAAGAGCGTCCGACAGGACTCGTTAGGGTCTATAGGATACTCCATACCGGAAGAAGCTTAATCTCCACTCTAGCCCATCGTGTCCTCCTCTACCTCCGACTTGACCAGGCACACACTGGCTCGCAAGCTCTGGGAGAACATTGCTCAGTATAAGCACGAGAATACTTAGCTTTTCGCGATTCGAGCGAACTATGACACATTCCAACCAAAAGGGAATGAGCGACGAACATCTCCAAGAGGTGGACGATCCTCACAAATCTTCCTGGTCATCCGTGAAGCCAAAGCTCTATCTGAGTAATTGTAAGGCTCGAGTGGGAATCTTGAGAGAAATCAAGCGCATGACATATCTCGACGGAAACACCACTAGTTCCCTATCCGACGACCTCCATACGCCTTACCTTTGGGCGGCTTGCATGAGTACCGACTTATCCGAGCTTGAGAAGTTCAGGGATATCCTGAAAGAGTCGTCCATGGAAGATGCTGGTCCGTCTCTGATGCTTATCAGTGCGGCGGTCCAACAGCTTGTGGCATTGTGTAAGTTCTATGTCCTAGGCTATTGAGGGCCATTCATGGCGCTAATAAATTGAACCAAAGACAAAACTCCCGACCATGTTGAGGTGGACTCCGCTGCGTCGTCTCCAAGTGCCAAGTCTCCACGAAGAGAACCGGCAACCTGTAATTCAAAAACCATCCCCACAAAGAGCAGCAACACCCCACGACCACTCTCATCACCTCTGCAGCATTCTCCTGGGAAGACAGGTTCCGGAGGCCGACAGCAGTCTGCGGAATCCGGTTCGCCAAATTCGCCGGGCAACCAGGAGAAGTACAGGAACAAACGAGCGGTCCAAATGGTGAGCCAGACAACATTCTCTCAATTCAGTAAGTAGTTAGCTAATTCTCGATAGGCAAAGCAGCGGGACAATGCAACATGCCCTTTGCTAGGCACCAGATACTGTGAAGCTGCTCATATCTATCCATTTGCCTCCATCGAGAAGAAGGGCACGATCGTGACGAGCGTGCACGCTCTAATGAAAGTTTTCGGACGGGGGACAGCTCAAAGATTCACTGATGCTCTCAGTATGGTCAACCTGGACTCGTGCGCCAATATGATCTGCCTGGATCGTATTCCGCATAGAATGTTTGACGACGGCCGACTAGCCTTGCAGCCAATTGATAGAGGCACCTACACGAATGGCAAACACTTCATTCGCTTGCGCGTGCATTTTCTGCAGACACAGGCGAGGCAACACGAACCACGCGCATGGAGAAATGATCTGGCGCAGGATCCTTATGAGCTGCTGGAGAATTTCCAGCTCGGCGACGACGAGACTCAAGGAATCCGCCTCGTTTCTTCCGTGACTCAGCGCGAAATTAGTGATGGCCACGAGTTTGATATCACTGCAAAGACGCAAGAAGATCTTCCAAATTGGGACCTTTTCGATCTCAGGTACCGCATTAGTCTGATGAACCATCTGATCGGCGCTGCTGGTATTTCAGAAGAGGAGATTGGTGAATCCGATAAAGAGGTATCTGATGAGGAATTCGAAGATATTGATGTGGTCGAAGGCGCCATCACGAAATTGGAGGAAATCGCGGAGCAGAGGCCGGAGGAGGTGGATGAGGATGATATTGCCTGAGTATCGAGATATATGTACCTAGGCTTGGCGGGGCTTTTGATAGATAGTCGTAGTGTACTCATCGATGACCACCGAGCAACGTGATTGTTCCGAAACGTATTGGCCGTCCTATTTCCTGTCCTAACGCTTCTGTGGTGTCGTGATGTTTAGGCAGATGGAGTGGGGCCAGCTGGCTTGGGAACAGGCAGCACCCGCTAATGGCTACCAGAACAAGGATTAGATGCAGCCCATCGTCGGATACAAAAGCTTGTAAATTGAACCTCACTTTCTGTGAGCTTTCCGAGAATTAGTCTGCACTGCCATACAAATTATTGTTAAGCTACCATCTCTTTGATATTTCCGACCTTTGAATATCTTGACACCATCTCAGCCTCTTGAACCATGTCCGGAAAAAGCGCCCCAGTCAACTCTTCCCAACCACTTACACAATTCTCATTCGCCATCTTCACCAAACTCCCACCCGAGCTTCAACTTGAGATCCTTTCACACTGCCAGCAAAACGACCTCATCTGCATATCCCTTGCATCACACTCTCTCCGCGCCATGATGCTTCCACTCATCCCGGCAAAACCCTCGCTACTCTCATACGACCAAGTACACCCCCCAGAAGCGCTCAAGTGCGAGTGCGGCGACACTTCAGCAATCGGCGTTGTCCAGGACAAGTACTGGCATAGGAGGAAACGTCATGTCTACAAGTACGCCGAGCCCCCGAGAAGATGCTCAAATTGGACGCCCTGTCGATCGTATGCCACCGACCACGCCATGTGCCGGCGGCAGTGGTGTAGGCACTGCTCGTGTACCACGTGCCCGCTCTATGCAAGACTCCGCAGGTCGATGGGAGACCTGAGATACTGTGCCGAGTGCCAAAAGTTTACGAAGCGCCCACAGACGAAGAAGTACAAGGGGAGATGTGAGTCTAAAATAGAGTGACGCGAGTCTGAGGAGCTGATCGCTGACACATGCCAGGTTTGCATGGCCGCCCCCGGGTTCGACGGAATCCAGACAATCACTGGACAGCCAAAAAGGGAGTGTCGTATGGGTATCGCTGGTGGCGAAGATGGGGCACTTGCGGTGTCGATGCCTGGGGGTATCCAGACGGGGACAAAACGGCGGATATTAGCAGAAGGAGAAATGCGAGAGTTGTGTAGACTGTAGAGAGTTGTTGGCCTTTCAATTGATTAGGTCTCTCATCAAGGGTGTAAACTTGCTTGTGTTATTGGGGTCCCCGAGCGGCACATTGTGCCATGTACAGCGAGACTTGAGAGCTCCGCACCGTCAGATGCTTGTACACTATTTTAGACATTTGCTTACTGCAACCAGGTTTCCATAACTCTTTGAATGACGTCAAATTGACTCTAATATCCAACAAACTAAACAATTGAGGCAGCGTATACTCTCCAGAGAACTGCGGATGAAGTCCATTCCCGAGACTTGGCGACAACGCGTCGCTTTGAATGACGTTCTGAAATGCAGTGACTACTTATAGGGAGTTCATCACTGCTCATCATATCAATACTACCACCATCAGCAGCAACTACTCTTCCTCACAAGCCCGAACGTTTCGCGGACAATGTTGGTTCTTTGAAGGAATTTCCCATCCAAGATACCTAACGATCTAGTGGGTTATCCCGTAGCACTCGTGAAGCCTTTTGCTTTCCCTAGATTGTATTGTCTCTTTGTCGTCGTTTGGTCTCAGCAACTTACGCTAACTTACACCTAGTAGGTAATTGGGGTCAAGCTCCACTTACCGCGGCACCGTCCCCAGACCCACACCCTGCTACCGACTGGCTGGCGAAAGCTTCTGCTGATTTTGATGAACAAGCACTTGCCCGAGCGATGGTAGAATACATGTATAATCTGGGAAATTTTGCGCGTAGAAGTTTCCTGGGATCGCCCGGCATCGAAGACGAGTTTTCTCAAGCTATTGAAAAAAGACTGCTGCTGTGTCTGGGAAAAGCATAGCACAGCAAGGAGCTCAGAGCTCAAGGTCCCTCAAGCTCGGCACACTCTGAGACTACCGATTGGCTCGGCGCATGCAAACCGTTCATGTCGAGCTACCTAAGTCGAATTCTCTACTTCATCCCTACGGTCGATTGGAGGACTCTCCCAGTGCGACTATTCTCTAAAGGGCCAAAGAAAGGAAGAAAAGACAATTTTTTTTTAGTTATTATTATCATTTCCTGAAACCTCAGTGACTCGGAATGGAGTGGAGATCCGGGGTATGCGTAATGACGAGGGCCCGGCCACGCACCTCGTGCGGCTGGCAACCCCTCACCGGGAAAAGACAGGCGCTGGTGCCGTCATAGTTCCAGCCCCGTATCAGGGCTGGTATGCTTCGTAAATTCATAACTCACTACTTCATCCTCTGAGCCAGCGACCTACATTTCTAAAATATCTCTTTTGGCTATATGCTTTCTCCATTACTACCTTGTCGCTCGAAATCTACCATTATCAACCATGGCGCCCTCTCAAGATACCGAGCGTGTTCAACTGCCCGAGACCTGGAACCCCGAAGGTATATCTTTTCCACTCCGACGAGACTTGCCTAGCATTCCGGGAGCCCCAAAAGATGCTGCCTGGGTTTGGGGCGCTGAAGATAATGTACCTGCCATATTTCCCTTTGAAGAAGAGTATTAGTGAGCTCATCAGCCGTCAGGTCGGCCGCCTCAACCTTCTCACCCGCACCCGTGTGCTGGCTGCATCAACAGCAATCGAAAGTGGCGAGGTCATACCGGTAAAGTACGGAACCCTCGAGTCCTACCGGCACAATTGTATCTCAACACGCTGGTAGCCTGCCTCTCAATGTCCCAGGCCAGCCTGCCTTCAATCGAGAGCCGTTTGTCCACCATATCAAGACTCTGATTCCAGGGTTATGTTACGACGACAACTACTACATGAATACCCAGAGCGGCACTCAGTGGGACGGCTTCAGACATGTACCTATCATCCGCCCCCATAGGAGTACCACCTCTTGAATGCTAATACAGACCAGTTTGCTCATTTACCTTCGGGGACGTTTTACAACAATGTAAGGCGCTCATACCCCTCCTGCTCTGTGAGTCGTGGTGAAATTAATCGAATCAACTGCCACAACAGACCAAGGGACAAGACATCGAGGGAGCAGCTAGCAATCTAAAATGCTCCATCCACCACTGGGCTGAGCGCGGCATCGCTGGCCGCGGTGTGCTTTTGGATTTCTGCTCTTATGCGCACGCCAAGGGTCTCAATTTTGATCCATACGACACTTGCAGCATATCTTACCAAGACTTGCTCGAATGTGGCCGAGAGCAGGGCATAGACATTCGGCCTAGGGCGCAAGGAGGCGAAATCGATATTGGCGACATCCTCTTCATCCGGAGTGGGTGGGTCGAGGCTTATTACAGCAAGAGTCCAACCGAACGCGCCCATCTGGGACTCAGGGGTCACAATGACATCAAATTTGGCGGCCTGGCTCAAGAGGAGTCTATACTTGACTGGCTGCATGACTGCTACTTTGCTGCTGTTGCTGGGGACTCGCCCACGTTTGAAGCTTGGCCAACCAAGGCGGGTTAGTTGTGCTTTTCTTGCCCCATTCTTCCAATCAGGGGAGTGCGTGTGCTTACGGCTGGGGATTTGCTGACTGGAAATGTCAGAATACCACCTTCACGAGTATATCCTGTCACTATGGGGGATGCCTTTGGGCGAGATGCTCAACCTAGAAACATTGGCTCGTCGATGTCGCGAAATGAACAAGTGGACATTCTTCTTCACAAGCGCTCCAGCAAATTGTCCACGTAAGCATCTTGTTCCCCTTCAAAAACGACCATCTTACTCACACAGCTTCAAGAGGGCGTTAGCAGCCATGTTAATGGCACTGCGATTTTGTAGTCGTGTTCGCTGTACGACTGAACTGATTTCAACATGTTTCAAGCAGTATGGACTGTTTCAGAAGAGAAGGAATTTCAAAGCTACCTTTACTTGCACTGCATGATTTCCTGTTATCAGTTTTGTCTGTCCTGTGGCAGTAGACAACGCCTTGTTGGAATATTGTATATGGACGATGGTACAACGTTCTCTTCCTTTAATGTAGGTTTCCAAGAGAACACTTATTATCCGCTCCCTGATGTCCAAATTTCCTAAATCATACATATCAGCCTGTGACATCGTATTCGCCAATCAAAATGCAAGAAGTTCGAGACACGGCTATTGTCCATACGCAAGAGAAACGGAGTAAGCCTAGGACCATTGGACAGCTTTTTGCGCCCGGCGGTCCATGACTTACACATCCGACGCTTTCATCTGGCCCATTGCGTGACCGAGGCGCGGCAAGTTGGGGTGGATTCGTTGCCGGCGGCCGTTCGCCAGCTTGGCACAGGTACCGAGGCGTCCAAGGCGACCCGGCTGTCTTTGGTTCCTTGCGGCTTCAAGGTTGGCTTAGTCGGTACGTTCGGGTAGTTGAGCGGTTCGTGCTTAGACCACCGAAAGCGCATAATAATTTCAAGTGCAGTTCTGAGTCCTGATAGCTGTGGCCTGCTGACCAGTGTCCTTCTGATCCATATTTGTAACATCTGAACATCGCAAAATGAGAATTGAGGGAAGGACATTTATCGTATCCGGCGGGTAAGACAGGGCATTTCTCAGAGTTTTGAACCACGATTACTGACCTCTGGCATATCGCATCCTGGCTGGGACAGGTCTGCGTTGAGCATCTGGTCGAGAAAGGCGGGCATGTGTCTATCTTGGACATATCTCAAGAAGCCGGTGCCGTTCTAGTGGACAAGCTGGGCTCGCAAACGAAATTCTTCCAGTGCGATGTGACGCAGACCGAGACTGTCACAGAAGCAGTCAATGGTGCTGCACAATGGAGTGCGTCAACCAAGATGCCGCTTGGCGGTGTCGTTGCCGCTGCGGGTGTAGGCGGCCCTGCCACTGTGAGCTGCCCTTCATCAACTGCAAGGAATGGAGTACTGACGCGACCTTTGACAGATCCTAGACAGACATGGTGCCCCTTTCGACCTCAACTTGGTCGATTGGGTGCTGAACGTTAACCTTCGAGGCACTATTGATCTAGTACGGCAGTCGGTAGCGCAACTGGCCAAGCTTGAGCCGATTGAACCTGATGGAGAGCGTGGAATCGTCATCATGGTTGCCTCATCAGCCGCTTTTGACGGTCAGAAGGGACAGGTGTCGTACGCGGCCTCTAAGGGCGCAATCACGGCAATGACACTACTCATGACCCGGGATCTCGCCCGATTTGGTATTTGGGTTGCTACTATTGCTCCTTCGCTTTTTGATAGCGCCATGACATTGCGCATGAGTGGCAAAGTTCGGATAAGCTCGGAGTCTGCCATGGAGCTCCCCAAGCGAGCAGGACAGCCAGACGAGTTTGCAACACTCGCCGTACAGCTGATTGAGAACATTATGCTCAACGGGACGGTGATCAGACTCGATGGCGGGATGAGAATGCCGAGCAAAATGTAACTTGACAGCCAGTATGCAAATGGTTCGCTTGTGGTACGCTGAGGAACGAACGCAGTCTACCCTACAAGCAAGAATCATACAGTCCGAATGGATGAAGCTACCGTGATGTCAGACAAGGGTGCAGAAAACATGCGTAATTGAGAACAACGCTTCGAACGGCAGAATAGCCTTGGAAGGAAGATGAAGCGTACCAGTACTTTTCATCCACTCTGCCAAATGCCATAACACATAGTTCTCACATTCACTCGGTGAATAGCCTGCGTGCTTATGTTTGCTGGGTGGCCCTGGTGGAATACCTGATTGCGAACTATGATTGGCTATAGAAATAATTTCTCGCCCTAATAGGTAATTCCTTATCCTAGAATTTACACTAATATTGATAACACATGTTGGATGTGACTATCGCTCGATCGTTGTTTTGTGACGTACCTTGTTGTATTCAAAATAATTCTAGCTTTATCGCGAATCGCATATTAATTGACTCACGTCCGGCTGCAGTGGTACGGCATTCAATCGGATGGTATAAGCTCGCCAAAGTAAGAGCAATCCGTAGCAAGTGCTGAGTCTTGCGCGGTGCCGCGGTTCCCTCAGCGGCCCCACTCAAATTCGGTCAAGGCCTCCGACAGTGGTGGACTTGGGAACCGATTCTGCACCTCTCGGCATCCAGCCCGCCGGCCGAGTCTGATCCTTACCTGGACTGAGATGGGCCGAACCTCGGCAGGACAACGGATGATTGAGCTTACCAGGGATCGCGGCTAAGGAACGAAGCTGCCGAGCACAATGGGACGAAACCCCTCTCTGCAGCTGCTCTGGTCATTGGCAGATCAGAAATCTGGCTGCTTGCAAATTTGATAACCTTTGCGATGAAGCAGCTAGCCAATCCGAAATTCTAAACCAACACAACCAAACATCACAGCATTTCAAGTGTTCCCTGAAACATTTGCTTAGCAAATAAGCCCGAGGCCTGGTAGATTGGGCAATAGCATAATCATTAGGTCCAACAAGGTTGCACATCCCAGTGAATACCTAAGGTAGTAATCAATTGGTAGCATTTTGCAGCGGTAGATCCTCCAAGCCGAGGCTTTATACAAAAGTCCTTTTGCCTCTTCTGGCGTGCACAGGCGATTCCTAGTTAGCAACATCATGGGGTAGATGAAAGGTTCCGTTGTCCACCTTACCTAACCGAGTACTCGCATAACCGTCAAGGGTATCATTATCCGTGCTTCCATGTCTACCTACTATTTATTCATGCCGCCGGTCTGCACCGCTCCCGCATGACCCCTTCGACGAACCCTCTCTATCCCCCGGTGTTGTCTGAATCTCGTTCAATTCCCCACCTTCAGAAGTGCACTCGTTGCCTCGAAGCCAGCATGGTGTTTTCAACATCTTACCCGTCGCATGTCCAAAGAATACTCGACCTGCGGGAAACGCGACCCAAGCACCAACCATACTCGGTCGCACTTCCTGGTACAAGCCAACCCGGCCGCTCAAATGTGTACAGACATTGGCAATTTGTGGATGGATTGCTGGAAGGCATCGGCCCGGATATATTGACTGCTCACGACATGTTCGAGGCCACTGTGAAGAGCAATCCAAAGTCAGACTATCTGGGCCGCCGACCATACGACCCCATTCGGCGATGCCATCTTCCTTGGGAATGGCTGAGTTTCAAGACCGTCCAGCAACGCAGGAACAACATCGGAAAGGGCCTTGCAGAAATCCACGAGCGGGCCGGTAAGGTCGGGACACAATTTGGCATTGGATTGTGGTGCGAAAACCGACCTGAGTGGTCAATCGTCGATCTCGCATGCATGTCGCAATCACTCTTTAGCGTCTCGTTATACGATACACTGGGCCCCGATGCATCAGAGTACATTATTCGTCACGCCGAGTTGACATGCGTTGTTACTTCTGTCAGTCATGTTCCAGCACTGATCGCTCTCAAGCCGAATTTGCCTGGGCTCAAGTGTTTGGTGATACTGGACGATGCTCAGCCCCGCTCAGACAATCAAGACTTTTTGTCGCGCAACCGGCTGTTAGTACCCATCGCAGAAGCACTCAAGCTGGACCTTCAGATCTACTCGCTAAAAGAAATTGAGCAATTGGGCGCAGCCTCTTCCAGGTCGTTGCGGTCCCCACAGCCGGACGATATAGCCACCATCAACTACACCTCGGGAACTACTGGAGCGCCCAAAGGCGTAGTCTTGACACACAAGGGCTCGGTCGCAGCAACAGTTTGCTCTCTCCTTGATGCGGGACTCCCGGGTAACGATGTCATGATCTCCTATTTACCACTAGCTCACGTCTATGGCCGACTTTTGGAACATGTCGGCGCTTTCAGCGGGACCAAGATGGGATATTTCAGCGGCGACATTTCCAACCTTGTGGACGGTCTGCAGTCCCTCCGGCCAACAGTCTTCCCATCGGTTCCGAGGATTTACAACCGATTCGGCGGTATCCTCAAGTCGGCTACACTCGAAGCTTCCGGGATCCAAGGGGCTGTGAGCAGGTACATTGTGGCAACCAAATTGGCGAACCTGGAAGACAAAGAAGCTCCTACTAACAAGCACCTGCTTCACGATAGGATCTGGGGCCGGCAGATCATGGCCACACTGGGCCTCGACCGCGCACACACAATGATTACCGGTTCTGCGCCACTGGATCCAGCATTGCACAAGTTCTTGAGTGTCGTGAGTGGATCTAGCGTGGTTCAGGGTTACGGTATGACCGAGACGTACGCTTGTGCATTGGCACAAAATCGGGCTGATGCCAGCACGGGACACTGCGGGGGTCTCGTGCCGTCGACAGAAGCCTGCTTGCTCTCCGTGCCTGAGATGGGCTACACCATCGAAGATGTCCCATGCCCACGTGGTGAACTGCTGCTGAGGGGACCCAACTTGTTCAAAGAGTATCTGAAGAACCCGGAGCAAACAGCTGAGAGCTTCACCGAAGACGGTTGGTTCCGCACGGGCGATATCGCATCAATTGACGATATGGGTCGCTTTACCATTGTCGACCGTCACAAGAACCTTCTCAAGCTCGCTCAAGGCGAGTACGTATCGCCAGAGCGCCTCGAAGGCATCTATCTGTCCGGCTGCAGATACATCGCACAGGCCTTTGTTCATGGTGACAGTCTGCAGGCATTCACCATCGGCATGTTTGGTGTAGACCCCGGGCTCTTTGCGCCTTTTGCATCCCAGGTCCTCGGCCGTGTGGTTTCATCGTCGGACTTGCCAGCCATCAGAGAGGCGTGCGCGGATGCTGCGGTGCGTGCTCGGGTATTCCAGGATCTCGAGGCGGTGGGCAAGGCCAACAAGTTTGCGAGCTACGAGCGTGTCAAGAATTTTGACCTCTCCATCGAACCATTCTCGGTAGGCAACGAAACCCTCACACCGACTCTCAAACTTCAGCGGAAGAAAGTAGGGGACTTGTATCGAGACCGGCTCTCGGAATTATATGCTCAAGTCTTGGAGGGTCGCGAGGATCACACGACGGCTCAACCTGTACCCAAGCTGTGAGGTAGAATCAAGCATGTTGAGGACACCCTCGCTTGCCAGAGACATGCGGAGTCGGGACACTTGAAATGATGATGGGGGAACGAGATAGAGGTTTTCAACGCTCTCAAATTTCCGTAGTCGGGGCATGGTCTCTCCACACAATACAGCTACCAATAGAACGAGCGTCACTCATCATTCAGCCCACGTTACGAGGCGAAAGGTATGTTAATGACAGTGCTTAGATCTTTTTCTACAAATTTGTCAGACCCCATTGCTTATAGAAGTCCATCTCCTCCTCGGAGAAAGGAGTTGAGTCAATATTGAATAAAGTAGAGGGCAAAAAGAAATCGTGATCAATGTTTGCGTCTTCCAAGAGCGCATCTCCTTCGCTATTACAGGGTGTTTGGAGATGAACAGCGTCTTGGCACTCCCTGGGTGCCGGCTGCGCAGACACTGGAGTGGCCGCGTCATAGGCGGTTGTTTCGTGGGTAGCATCCTGCGGCTCACTAGCTTGCAGGGGTCCTACGGTTGCAGTTCCTGCACGACTACAACTTCCTCTACGAGATGTCCTTGTGTTTTGAGCCGAGGGAAGAGGCTCGGCCGTCTTCATGATCTGGAGAAAGAACCGATACTGTATCTCGGCGGAACAGTAAATCTTGCCGAGATGGGAAAGGACAAGCATGTGGAGGTTTACGTTATGCAACGCGAGCTGGCGGCCGATGCCCTCTGAACGGCACGCTTCGTGGAGGTGTACCCCGATGGCGGAGTTGATACAGGTTGGGAGCGTGGGGGGTGAAACATTAAGTAGGTCAGCGCGTACAAGGTCGTTGACGGACTTTGTGATGGCCGAAGCGGCTGTGGTATACCTGTCCATCGCGAGCGATTGGATGTTGCTTTCCCCGAGAGGCGTTGTTGAGCTTTGCGTTGACGGAATGAGGTACGGCCGGTGCAGAGCAATCAGCACAGTCCCGTGGTAAATCTTGAGAACACTGCTATGTAATAACAAGAGTGGTGTTTCTCCCGTCACCTCTACACAGACTTTCCTCTGCATTGCCTGAAGAGTACTGTGGTGTAATTCGAGAGCCGCGAGCGACGCGGGTGGTTGACCAGGCCGAAAATTGAGCCGTAAGATTGTTTCCAGTTCAACAGACAGTTGCAGTAACTCTATCCATAGAGGTACAAGTGTTTCAAACTCGCGGGGAATGAAGGTTTCCCGCAGTGTAGCTGGAAGGCTGTCAATATCGTTCAGTACTGCGGCGGGTTCTGGCATTGGCAAGTCGCAATCTTCCGAGTTGATTCGGAGTGGCCTGCCAAAACCGAGACCGAGCCAGACCTCGCGAGAGTAAAGACTCCACCAAATACGTGCCCAAATATTACACTGTGATTGGGAAAATGGAGAGGATTGAACGCGCTCGCATGTTGGTTTTCGGTGGAAACCGATGCTATGTGCTAGACCGGTTGCCACTCCGATCCAGTAGCATGGCCCGTCCAAATCTTCTCGGTCAACAAGGTGATAGGAGAGGAGTATGCAAGCCTGTATTATGGTCGGCTTGTCTACCTCGATTTGGCTGTCGTAGAGCGCCTTTTCGCAAGTTTGTCAGCAATTGTGTTGTCGCATGCCTTATAACATTGATTTTTGTCTGGCGGCATGCTATAGGATGGACGTTGCCCATCCGAAGAAAAAGGCTTACCTTGGCATGTCGGTAGATATCCTCTTGGTATTCCTTCCTGGTCCTGAACTCGGCAGCTTGCCAATGCTCTGGCTTGACGAACTTCATAAGTGTCACGTTAGAATATTGCCATTCTGGTCACGAATAGGAACAGGGTAAGAGAGAGGTGCAGGTTCATACTGTAGCGGCAGCAAATAAGACGCTCCACAGCAGGAGGGGGCTGATGCTGCTTGGCTGGTTGGCGAATGCTGAAATAAAACGGCCCGCATCGATGACAGGCAAATACGGATGAAGGTAACGGAAGTAGCAGCAAATCATGTCATGAAGGGCCGCCGGCGCAGGCAGCGGGCGCGCCATCAGGGGAGAGGTAATATGTGCCGGGGGAAAGTAACGACGCTGTCGCTGAATGATGTAAAAGTTGCCTGGCAAAGGACGAGAAGGATAGCAAATGTCGAAGAGCAAAGCCATGCCAGCAGACTCGCCTGTAACCTCAAGTGCGTCAGTCTTGAGAGTGCTTGCCTGCAAGCCAGGAGAGATAGACAACAAACCAATATAATAGTGAACAGGAGCATTCGGGGTGCCATGTGCATAACTTGGGTCATGTGCGGTACACAGCAAGTTTTCAATGCTGGTCGGGCGATACTGCCGCTTCGAAGATGGGCCCGGGTCCGGTTCCAGATCGAGGCTGGAGTGCTCGTCTCCTCGGCCAGGCAGACGCTGTGAAGAGCTGGAGGGCGACGGCATGGCCGGAGATATCGGAGGCGGCGGCGGCGGCGGCGGGACATCAGGTGGGGCATCAGGCGGGGCCCGGCTACCGTATACGCGGCAGGTTACATTGCCATCCTCCGAGCAGTTTGTGCAGGGCGGGCCCTGAGCGGCGAGATTGCAACGGACCTTGCGCTGATGGCAGGCGATGCATGCGATAGCAGAGCGCTTCCTCTTGGTGCTGCCGGCCATTGCTGCTGCAGCCAGTGTAGACCTGGCGGCGGTGGACGTCTTCGGAGCCGAACTCATCTCATCGTCTTGTCGTCAATCATGGGGTTGGGAAGAGACAGGCAAGGGGGGAGTGCAGTGTGTTCGGCAAGCGGCAGCAGGCCGAGGCACATATGTAGTAGGTAGGTGCCGCGGATCTGGCCTTATGCAAGCATTTGCCATCTAAGCTTGCCGCTTTACCCCAGATTCCTTCCCCGCACTCGTCCCCGCAATTTTCCGTCTCCGCAACTATGGAACCGGCGCGGCCCCACGCTAAGCCAAAGGTAGAAATTGGTTCGATGTCTAGCGGTTCGGTGTAATTGTACACATACTATCCACAGTATGATCAGGTCCAGGAGCCGGTGGGAGACATCGAGTAGATGTTACCTTTGAAAATCGATCAACTTTGCCGTCTTCACTAACGTAGTCACCTCGGTCTCGACCCGAGCTGAACTGCCTTTGAGGGGTTGGCCCATGCCAGAAATGCCTTTCACCATTCCCCTCATCGCTGCTACCTTGCCTTAATACTGAAGAGAGCTGGGCTGGGTTCATTGATAAGAAGCGTTCTCCAGCCATGAATGAAGTGAATGGGTCACACTTGTCAACTCCTCATTGCTTTTGACAACCACTCAATCAATTACCTTCTATCTTGTCCGTGCCTAATCCTTTACCCTGCTCTTGTAGCTGCCATGGCTCAATTCATTCCAAACGTCTTCAACTTCTGGGTTGTAGTGTTTGTTGCAATCGGCTCCATTGCCTGCTCCTACGGCCTCGCAATTATGGGGTGAGCTTCGGTCCTCTTCATTCCCTACATGGTTTTCGGTCTTATCTCTGAGAATACCAAGTCGCTGACGAGGTGGAATCATAGAGCCATCATAGGGCAGCCATCTTTCTATATATCACTAAACCTGGCACCACCAGGCACCCCCGGCTATGAAACCACAAGCGCCTTGATCGGAGCCTTTAACGGTACGACCTATGGCTCTCTCCAAGAACGTCGCGCAAGGCTTTCAACCCAAAATGACTAATTATTATTCGCTGTCAAAGGCCTAGGTTCTGCAGGCGCCGTTCTTGGGGCAATTTTTAGTGCCTGGTCTGCAGATCGCTTCTCTCGCAAACACAGCATGCAGCTCGGATCCGCGATCATGAGCGTTGGATCTGGTCTCTGTGCTGGATCAATCAATACCACAATGTTCTTGATCGCACGTTTCATTGCAGGATTCGGCCTCGGCATGTTGTTCAGCGTTCGTTTCCACTCAAGCACAACTACAGGTCCGAACTTTGCTAAGCAACAGTCATCAACAGATCATCCCCATGTACCAGAGCGAGATCAGCACGCCAGAGACCCGCGGGTTCATGGTGTCGATACACGGTATAATGATTGGCGTGGGCTATTCTCTGAGCTCTTGGATCAATTTCGGCGTGTACTTCATCACGGCATCCGGCTCTACATCGAGCTTTCCTTGGCGCTTTCCCATGGCTTTCCAGGCAGCGCCCGTTATAGTCCTTCTTGCTGGGTCATTTATGCTACCCTACTCTCCAAGATGGCTCATGCGAAAGGGGCGATTCGAAGAAGCCCAGACCGTGTTGAAACGCTTGCATGCATCCAACGACGAAGCCTCCATCGAGCGCGTTGCCAAGGAATTTCACCAAATTCGACGGCAAGTCGAAGAAGATAAGAAGAGCCAGGATGGCATCGTCTGGTACGAGCTTTTGCGGACCGCACCAAATCGCAAGAGGACCACCATCGCCATGGTTCTCATGTGGGGGGCTCAGCTCACCGGAACCCTTGTTCTGGCTAATTATGGCGTTCTCCTGTTCATCAGTCTTGGCCTTGAGGGTTATATGCCATTGCTCCTTCTCGGAATCTGGGTCACAGTCGGCTTTCTCGGTAATATTATTACGGCGCTTTTCCTCGACCGCTTCGGCCGCCGCAAGTTTCTTCTCGTAGGAATCTCTGGCATCTTGGTCTCGCTCATCTGCGAGTGCGCCTTGCAGGCCAAATATCTCGGTACAAACAACATTGCAGGTCTGAATGCTGCCGTATTCTTCATCTACCTCTTCATCGCGTTCTTTGGCTGCTGCATAGATGCGACGCAGTTCGTGTATCTGACAGATATCTTCCCGAACCACATTCGCAGTCAGGGAAGCGCCTTTGGAATCGTTAACAGCGCTCTGGCATCATTCGTCATGCTCATGTCCGCACCGACTGCTCTCGAGAAAATCACTTGGAGGTTCTTCCTCGTGCTCATCGTACCCACGGCATGCTACTTGTTGGTTATTTATTTCTTCTTCCCCGAGACTTCCAAAAAGTCTCTCGAGGATATCAACGAGGCCTTTGGCGAGAAAGTGGCTGTGCACTACAGCCATGCTACCCAGGCTGAGGAAGAGGAGTACAGAAAGGCGGCAGACCACGAGATGGATTCTAACCTCAAGATTGCGCCAAAAGATAATGGCGTCGTACAGCATATAGAAAAGTCTTCAGGCTATATTTAATGGCCCAAGGTTGAAGGACTGAGATGGAATGACTTTCCACGCTTGATGTTTGGAAGAGTAAAGGTTTGAACATAGTTGAAGACTTGTTGATATGGTCGTATGGTTTCGTTGACACTATTTTGGACTAGAAGGTTCGGGAAATGTACTTCTACTGTTTCAACTACCTTCTAATACGGTTGATTAAAGAATTTGAAAAAGGATCAGCGTTGAAGAAAAGCGGAGATCGACGTACAGTCGCCAGACAGCACTTGATGTGACAGCCATTGTGAAATCAAATGTAAACTAGAAGTAGACAATATTTGCGGGTGTGAAGAAGGTCTCACACCTACAACAAATTGTTAACCACGATTGGGATCACATAAAATAATTTACCTACATACATGTTTAGAAGGAAACCAAGAAAGCACCCTTTGCTGCGCTGAAGAGTCACACAGCGAGCAAACCATCACATAGTGTTACGTCCATACATCATGCCGTTCAAAGCTTCGCAAACATGCCGGGACCCTTCTCAGCAGTTGAAGATCCTTTTGTCTGCACAGGATCGGCAGCGTCAGGTAGTCCCGACGGCTCATGATGAATCTGATGGAATATTGGATCCCAGACGAAACAAGCGCCCGTAGATGTCTCGCCGTTCAAAGGTTTAGGGTCAGGGGTCAGAAGAACCTTGTCAACTGAGCACTCGAGAGCTGCACCTGATAGCGACTCATCTGTGATAATTCTGTCCAGGGCATTGACGACGGTGGACATTGGGGTAATGCTGCTACTGTTAGTATCAAAACTGCAGCCCTAATCTACAGCGTTGGCACTCACCCTGATCCTGCGGCCGCCGCCATAGCCGCGGGCATCAGCGGGGTTGCGATTGACCCTGGACGAATGCAGTTGATGCGGATGTTTTCTTTCTGGTAGGACTTTAAGCAGATGATTTACGTGAAATTGCAAAAGAGCCCACTTCACATACCATCTGTAGAATTTGAGCGCTGGCGCGGACAAATTGCCAGACCTAACGGCCGCGTAAGTGTGCCGTCAAGAAACCAAGGTCTGGAGCGCACTTACCGCTGCCTTGCTGCCACTGTATTCAGGAAACCCTCGATGGGGATAAAGACTAGCGGCGCTCGCAGTGGCGACAATCGTCCCGCCTGGCACCTTGTTCTTTCTCATGAAATGAATCGCCAGCTGAGTTCCGTAGTAAACCCCCTTCACGTTGATGTCCGTGCACTTTAGATTCGGCTTCGGAGGGATGCTGAATGACTTGTGAGACGAGATGTAATCAGAGAGAATCTGAGAAGCTTACATATCAGAATGTCGATGATCTAAGATATACAGTGAACTGGCGGAAGGGGCATTAGCTCGCAACGTCTAGGCACCTGAGAAATATGGTTCGCTCAAGCCAATTTACCTTTGGTCAAAGATACCAGCATTGGTGCACACCAGGTCAAGGCGGCCATACTTGTTCCAAGTTTCTTGGAAGCACCTCGCCTGGCTCTCGTACTCCGCAACGTCAACCTGATGGAAGATTACGGGGCCTCCAAGCTTTTCAATTAGATCCGGATTGGGCTTGATATCGAACATGGCAACTCGCCAGCCTTTGCTGACGAGATCCAGGGTAAAGGCTTCGCCTATGCCTGACTATGAGAAGTTAGCAGCCACAGCAAAGAAGGCAAAGAAGGCCAGAAAGCGACGTACACATGCCCCAGTGATGATTGCGACGGGTCCTGATGTCATTATGTGATTTATGTCTGAAATAGATAAGTATCAAGGGTTGTAGAAGGAAAATCGTCTAAGAAGCCGATTTTGAGGTGTTTTCTAGGCTCTCTCAAGGACAGCTTTGTTGTTCCCAGCCTCATTGATCACAACTCCTACTTTCATGGACGCGTAATGGTCCTTAAGTGGGAAAAGGGCCGCAACCTTCTGGAGGCAGAGTGGGTTGCCGAGTTGCCAAATTGCTTTTTCCATGGAGATCACAGACGAATCGAGGCTGTTTGCCCCTCGGTCAGATGAGATTACCGCAGCGTCTTTCGCTATGACATGACCTTTACGGCGATTGGTGTTATCCCATCGGCTGCTGACATGCATCTTGTGATGATCTTGGACTTGGTACTGATGGCTGGGAGGGCCGGTGGTTTTCCCTCCAAACATATTGTTGATAGCTTGTCAGATGTGGAGAAAACAAGGACCTCCAAGGTCTCGATCGGGCTTTCTGCATTACATAGGCAATGCAATCATCTATTCGTGATCGTAACCGGATCTTATCCTCGGTTTAGTCTCTCGCATTTTTCTTTCGATCTTTCTAATACACCTCAAAGCCTAATACTTCGAGCTCGAACTACTAACCAAAGGAGTAGGATAAAAGTCGCTCGGAAGCTCTCAACATAAATATTCTAGATAGTAAAGCTAATGTGACAGGGCAGACCAAGGCCATGAGTGAAGGGGAAGCGCGGGAGCCAGCCCTCAGGTGTGGCGGGAGCTCGGCGGGGGCTGAGGTCGCAGTTCGACCAGGCGCATTCGGGCCCTCTTGGTTAAGCCAGCTCGTGCCTCAGCCAGAGAGCCACCTCCCGAAGATACACCGTGTCGGAACTTGCAGGACTCATATTTGCGCTCGGATGCACTTTCGTTATCGTCAAGTGTTTCGAACCAATGAATGGTTCTTTTCATGATATAGACTTCGATTTATAGCGAAGATCAGCGAATCGGGCGTACCAAGAACAGCTCAAAGCGTCGAGTGCACGGGCTGGTGTAAATTCGAGTATGGAGAGTTTATACTTCGTATAGTATCAGCCATATCTTTTCCTCGCTGGCTTGTAATAGACTTCAACGAATGGGGACCGCCCAAACCGATTCTGGAACCCCCCCCTTTAGAAGAGATGGCTCGGGCCAATTCAGGAACGCTGGGCTTATGGCGGCCCCTAAAAAGTAGCTCACTGGCGTAGATGTTATGCACCATTGCCAGTTTGTTCACACTCCTCTGCGGGCTTCATTCCTTAGGCTAACCTGGTATAGCAGTGCCAACCCATATAAGGTTCTGGTAGGGTGCACTACGGAGTCTCCTCGGCCAAGACGATTACCATGATTGTGCCTCGAGTGCTGCGACCACCAACGGTAGCCACGCATGTGTGGCTTGCTTTATCTTCTCAATGCCCTGTGGATGTCGTGTTTCACCTTTTGCCACCCTCTTCGCCCGATAGCCAAGGCTTCGCGCGGATGATGGCGTGACTGAACACGAGACGACTTGCTTAATTGGACATCTCGATTCAAAGATTGAAATACTGTGGCCCATTTCGCTCTCTGCCAATTCCACCCTAGCGAAGGGGATACCGAATGCTACTAGCGTCGTGTTCCGCCTGCGAAACTTTCCGTAAAGATGACAAAAGCGCGGCATCCCTGCCAGTTCGTCCGCACCTCAGCCCTACCGCATTAGACAAGATGGATTCTCAGGAATGAATTTCTGCTCGACCCTGCGTGCCTGCCTTTGTCTACCACGTCTAGCCTCGCGAGGCAGCTGTCGCTATCAGACTAGGGCAACAGACGAACGTGGTGTCGACAGGCGACGGTGAGTGTTTCGCGACTAGCGCCATGGCTCTTGGATGCAGATACACTACTCGAAGCAACGTCTAATGCCGCTCTAACCTGCTTCGGCGAGGCGACCGGTCGTGTGAACCTCTTGAAGAGAGCGATACTGCAGACCTTGGGGGCCGCACCGCAGAACGACTCCCGAGGTAGAACGAAGTCCATATCAAGCTTGCCAGGACCTTTCCACAAAAGCACACAGGTCTCATTCTGTATCCCCTACTCCCCAAAGTTTCTTTCCCCTGATGAAAGACTTTGCCTTGGCTGCCGATTTTCGAGTTCACAATCACCAAAAGAGTCGACTAGGACAGCTTGATCGCGGCGATGAAATCTATGCTGTTGAGGATAGGCATCTTGGCGGCCTTTGCGATAGTGGCAGGGGCAGAGTCGATCTTCGATACAAATTCAACGGCACTCACCCAGTGGCTCGCTACAACGCCGAAATGCTCGGTACGTGATGATCCCCTTAACTCGGTACATGGTTCCTTTGTCGTGGACTTTTCAACACGGGTTCAACGTCCCACATGAACAAATCCTTACACAAATCGCCTCAGATGTCATGCTTCTCCGAGGTCCTCTCATTCGGAAGATGCCACCTTAACGGACTTGCGAAATGCGCCTGTACAAACGACGAACTCCAACTTCGAGTCTCTACGTGCGTACAACTATCCTGCGACTTTCCAGATCAAGTTGGTGAGTAATACCGCTACCCGACACTTTCGAGCTCTATACTAACATTCAGCTTATCCAGACGCTTCACGGAAATCCCAAAGTCTGTGTTATAAATACCCAAATAATAATCAAAAGGGAAATGCTCCTCTCTATGCTATCGCGCTGCCTTCTATCACATCGGTAATTGTACTATTAAGATGTTTTGCTCGCTGGACCGTTGCCCATAAGTTATGGTGGGACGACTATGTCACATTACTGGCCTTGGTATGTTCGTCGGTACTCTTATCCCGTGACTCTTTCCTAAGGGCTAACAATCTCAGGTCTTACTTGGTGTTCTTTCGGCATGTGGTGTGGCCAGTAAGACAATTACGATCCCGCCTTCAGGCAGTAGGGGGCGATGTTTGCTGACTTTACTCTGCAGTCTGTGCTCTGGGGTTTGGGAAGCATTACTGGGCCATTGACCCCGGTTCGGCAAAGACGCTTCTACAGGTAAATAAGCCTTTGCATAGTGTACTTTGACGATTGAGTAGCCGACCAGCATCACAAGTCGTTTTACGCTATGCAGATTCTTTACAGTCTTGTGAAGTCAGTTCTTGAAGCCTAGTCGGGGGAATTTCTAAGCTAAACCTCACCAGCGTTGTCGCAAAAATCGCAATTTGCTGTTTTTATATCCGAATTTTCCCTAAACAACGATTCCAGCTGGTTACGAAGGCCGTTATCGGCCTACTTATCGTCCGCAGTCTTATCATCGTCTTCCTAATTACGTTTCAATGCGTCCCGATTACTGCGATCTGGGATAAATCGGCTCAAGGAAAGTGTCTTAACCTGACGGCTATCGGGTATGCGGGTGCTATTGCTAGTATTACTGAGGATGTGGTATTGCTTATTATGCCAATCCCAGAGCTTCTACCATTGCAGCTTGGACTTAAGAAGAAGCTGGGACTAGTCTTTATGTTCTCCCTCGGCTCATTGTAAGGAAACCGCTGCTGGTTCGATTGAGATACTAACGAGGCGCTTAGTGGGTGTATTGCAAGCATCATTCGACTAAAATACCTGGTCTCTTTTGCGAATAGCTTCGACCCAACATGTCAGTCACTACCCTAAGGAAGTACAACTACCTTTGAGCGGCAGTGGATGCTGACCATTTTCATCCGACAGGGGACAACTCAGACATCATCAGCTGGAGTGGCATCGAGGTCAACATTGCTATCATTTGCGGTAGCTTGCCAGCGTTGCGGGTCCTGTTCAAGTATCTACCAAACCCTTTTACCACAAGCGAGAAAGCTGGAAGTGAGAGCATTCACTCGCTACAAAGAGTAACAGAACAGGATGTACATAAGGTTTGAGGGGAGTCTCTAAACCATTCTATTAATGGCTGTGCCACGGTGCTAGAACTGTTGTGGCGTTAGCCAAATTCCTTACTGCACCTCATCGGCCCATCCCTTCCCCGCGTTTTGACCCTGAATTCGTCTCATTGTCTTTCCTATGAATGGTTAAGGCTGGCGTTGATGTATCCCCGTTGGGAAACGAGGGGAGAGATAGAGAGGAGTGCAGGTGACAATTAAGTAGGTAGCAAAGACTATGATATCGACCGCAAGCTCTCATCCCCGAGTCACGCCAAAGTGAAGAAAACGGCCAAGGGTCAAGATTCGAGAGGTATGTGTATCTATTACTTTGCACGCTACGCGAGCCATGCCTGTCTTCTAGATGTCATCCTTATAAACTGAAGCTTCGGACTCGACAGCAACTACATGCTGTTGTCCCAGTGGTCTTTGGAAAACTTTGCATCTCAACCTACTCAGATATTTCGGAGCAGAGGTGAACCAAGACTGATATTCACTTATCGCTGCATAGCTCACCCGAACGAACCCGGCAGCGTCATGCATAGCGGCGGAGAATCGTCAGTTAGGTAATACATCATGAGGTGTCATGTCGTAAGGCTCGATTAATATCGCAGAAAAGCACGGTGAACTTGCGCCGTCCAGCTAGTTGCAGAAGCACGGGTACGCTTTTTGAACGGTGACCCTCTTCAAACTTACGGCAGTTATCTGCAAACCATGCGGCTCTCATTTGTTACGTTCGTGGCCCGCAGCTTTTGGCTGACAATCGTGTGGCAATTGCTTTGTCGACGAGAAACCTATCTCTTCACTTTATTTCTAGAGGCTCCTCAAACACCACACCCACAGCCTCAGAAAATTCCAACACTTCCATGTCAATCACATTACGTCTCTGGGCATAGTTCCTCCCTCATCTGCTGGTCGCTTGCATAGAATCAACCTGAATAGCCATTTGCAACCCCATCGCTTGACACGACTCTACGAACCTAACAATCTCTTTCGGTAATTCTTTGATGTTACCATTAGAGCGACCTCATCAAAGTTGAACTAGACATGGCACTCCCGCTGCGGAAGACCCTCGGGCACCGAGGTAACCCCATCATACAGTGGCGTGGTGGTCTCAGAAATTTCCTAATCAATGCGGTATCT